ATTTCTCTTATTTATTTTTTGTTTTTTTAATGTGGGAGTCACATTAAAAGGATTTTTGTTTAAATAATTGAAAAACAATTTGAAATAAAAAATATTAAACTAAAAACTATAATAAAATAGTAAATTTAACATACTGGGTGAAATGTTTCTTTTTAAAAATGTCAAATGTGATGATATCAAATTAACCACAAAAGCCTTAAAAAAATAGAAATTCTACATGTTATTTATTTGGTAAGAAATATAACAAAATTATGCAACAACAAATATCAAGTTAATTTGATTTTCTCATAAATGATATACATAAAAACTTAAAAAATAAAAATTCAGATATTTGAAATAGACTCTATGATAGGCCTATAGGCTTGGTTCGGTTGGGAAAAAAAAAACGTCACCATTTTAAAAAACATTACAAGGCTAGATTGATAGTTCATAAAATCTCTCGCACTTGGAGAAAAATGTCACCCTTTCAAAAAACATTTTCTCAGTGTAGTTTGTCAAACAGGTTTTTCATTTCACTTTCTACTCTTTCTATTTTCAAGAACAGCTCAAGTATTTCTTTTCCTCCCAAACACTGAACAACATTGGCCTCGTTTGGAAAAAAAAAGTTAGGCTAAAATAACTAATAAGACAAAATATCACAATCAACTCATAATTATTTTACTTTTTCTCTCACAATTATCAAATCAACTTAAAAAAAGAACCAACCAACCAACTAACTTTTCAAACGCAACTTTTTTAGTCAGATTAAAATAACCAAAAAATAAAATAACCAACTAACATAACCAGCTTCCCAAACAAAGCCATTGACTTGCCAAAATAAATAAAAGGCCCATCAATTTTTGTTTCATTTTAAAATTAAAAACAAAAGAAAAAATTGTTCACAATTTGGGATTTTCCAAATTTTATTCTTGAACTTTTTATTTTAAACTAAAATACTTTAATAATATTCAAATTTTATTCTAATTTTGATAGTTTTGTTTAACCCACATGCCACTATACTTGACCCAACCTTATCAATGCTCTCCCAAACCTTTTCTATTAGAATCGAGTTTGAAAAAATACAATTAGATTGGGTAATTTTGTCATCCTTATTCACACCAAAGGGTGACATATTTCTGCCAACCCTCTACAAGTCCAAAAAATAAAGCACCCCATCATCCTTTTAAACTTCAAAAATATTTGGGAGTTCTAAACCAAGAGCTCTAATGGATGAGACCCACCCATTGATTTGATGTTTCGGCTTTTTTTTTTTTTTAATAATGTTTAAGAGCTCTAATTGAAAGTTCTAATATAACTCTAATGATGTGGAGAGTGTCCATATGAAAGTAAAGCCCACACTCCTCTCTCTATCGCTCTATACTCTTTGTCTCTCTTCCACCTCACTAGCCTTCTTCTCGTAAGTGGTTTGTGTCCATGGATGTCACTTTCTTTGAGTCCCAGTCCTATTTCTTGTCCTCTTCGGTGTCACCGTCCTCATTTCCGGGGTAGCCTTGGTGTGAAGTGAGTCCTGTGCCTCCTATGGTGGAACGAGTTGTTCTTGCACCACCCTCTACTATTGTGCTTCCTATGGTGGAACCAGTTGTTCTTGAACCCCTCTCTTCTACTGGGACTATAGAACCCACTGTCACCAAGAATACGGACGGGCATGTTTATGTCCGGGACATAGACAGAAAACAAGTTAACTGGATACAAGGGACTGTTTCTGCTACTCCACTGCCATCTCCTGCTTCTGATGAGAGTCTAGGTAATTTTGAATCTCGTGAGTCCATTGATCTTGATGTTCCTATTGCCAAGAGGAAGGGTGTGAGATCTTGTACTCAACATCCTATCTCACAGTTTGTATCATACTCTCATTTGTCATCCTCATATAGAGCGTTTGTGTCCAATATTTCCTCTGTTAGCATTCCTAACCATTTTCAGGATGCTCTTGCTACCTCTGAGTGGAAACTAGCCATGATTGAGGAAATGAAAGCACTTAGGAAGAATGGCACTTGGGAATTGACTGAGTTACCTACGGGCAAACGAGCTGTGGGATGTAAATGGGTATATACTATGAAACACAAAGCAGATGGGTCTATTGAGCGTTACAAGGCAAGACTTGTAGCAAAAGGGTTTACTCAGACATATGGCATTGATTATCAGGAGACCTTCGCACCCGTGGCTAAAATGAATTCAGTCAGAATACTTCTCTCTCTAGCAGCTAATCTAGATTGGCCGCTTTATCAGTTTGATGTCAAGAATGCTTTTCTCCATGGTGACCTCGAAGAAGAAGTATATATGGACATTCCTCCGGGTTTTGAGGATCATCAAACATAAGGCAAAGTATGCAAACTTCGGAAGTCATTATATGGTCTCAAACAGTCTCCAAGGGCTTGGTTTGAGAGATTCACTCAGGCTATGTTCAAATATGGCTTCAAACAAAGTCAGGCAGATCACACATTGTTTGTGAAACATTCCTCACGCGGTAAGACTACAGCACTTATTGTTTATGTAGATGACATAGTTCTTACAGGCAATGATAGTGGGGAAATACCTCTGTTGAAGAAATATTTAGCCAAAGAATTTGAAATCAAAGACTTGGGAAGCTTGAAGTATTTTCTGGGAATTGAAGTTGCT